CTTGGCGGAAGTCTCAATTAAGAGATTCTCTTAGTTAATATTATGTTGTATGAATATATACTTTCTAATTGAGTCTTCTGCTAAAGAGGGAAAGTTCAATGTAGGAGGGGAAAAAAAATACTTTCCACCTTCCCACCCCACTGAATGTTACAAAATTCTTTCCTGTACTGCCACACTACTTCATCATCTTTTACCTAAACATTTTTTTTCCAGTGGTTCCTCGTGAGAAAGATGTAGCTTCTCTGAAGAAAAAGATGCTCCTTTCTGATCCTTTTCTATCACTATGATATTTTTTCTAAGTAGGATGCCTAAAACTGTTCAAAATATTTTTAACATGACAGCTTAATAGATACCTATATAATTCAATGTATATATTTTCTATCCTATCCTTAATAACCTCTACTGTGGATTTTTTTCCTTTTCACTACCACAGCATAAGCTGACATTTTCAATGAATTATCTTCCACAATCCTAGGATTCTTTCGGGTTATTCACCATCCTCTTACATCCCATATAGCTTACATTTATTTTGCAAAAGTGAGGTGTGCATGCATGTTTGTGTGTATGAAGGCTTTGCCAAGTGTTCATAACTCAGCAGTTAGTTAAGTAACTGCTTATTTGATATTTTGTTGACAAAGTTCAGTGTGAGGGCAGAGTGGTTTATGCGGGGGCACAAGACCCTAATTCCACAAATGCACTGACAGGGTCTGGTGATGACTATCCCGGGGGTAAACTTCATTAAGTTCAATGACACCTGGGAATGGAAAAGCTAAATTTAGCAGATTAGGCATTCCCTTATGCCTGCCTTTTCCCATCCTCTACTCCTACTCCCTGTCCCCAGTGTTGCTTTGCTTCAGTGGAACATGAAACAGGAGAGGGTCCTTGATCATGATCATCTGGCCCTTCCATCACTCAAGGGCAGCAAACAGTAAAAGAAAATGCCACAAAGAATAATGTGGTGTCATACAGTACACACATGGTATATGGTGTGAAGCACGTTTGATTTGTTTTGTTGATTGCATCTGATGATGATCATGGAGGTCTGCATGTCTGCATTTTGTTCAGTTTTCATATTATGATATGCTAATAACAAAGTAATTGAATCATTTACAATGTCATTTATCAATATTCTATTAATTTGAGGATTCTCTGTTATATACAGTATATATGTGACAACCATCCCACGTGGCAGTTACCTTGTTATGCAATGACACCAAATTTTTAATTATTCTTGAGCTGCAATATTTTCAACATTGCTGAATGACTGATTATATTATGAACTTTTTATCATAAAAAGCATTCTACAACTGACATAGCCAGTAGACTATCTCCTAGAGCAGGAAAGAATAAGATTCCCAACTGTACCTCTATCCACACTTATTTGGGAATTTCTTTGAAGCAAACATATACATTAACTTTGTATAACAAGAAACTTAGCCCTCGAACTTCTAAACCCAAACTTGGCTCTCCTTCAGTATGACAAATAAGCCCTATATAGTTTGGGGCTGAGAGATGTCCTTAGTGTAGTTATTTTTCAAAAGGTTTGATAAGATAAACAATGGGAACAATTGTAAAATTACATTTAGATCCCAAGGAAAATAAATAAATATTGCAGTGGGGAAAAATGGTCTATGAGTCAAAGGAGTGTGTAATCCTTACACAAGTTAGAGGCCTTTCTTGAGTATGCAGGATCCTTTTCCCTCAGTAAATCCCAGCTACACTCTACACACTGATTCACCCTACTCATACATGGAAGGCTGAAGTGATTCACAGGAATAAATGATATCTCTTCAATTACAGCAGAAATTACCGTTGCCTAAAAGCAAAAAGCTCTCTCTTTTTCTGATGACTTCCAGCTTTGAAAAATGAAGCCGTTCCCTATGAGCACAGCAAGTTTCTGTTTTGTGGTCACATTACAGCAGGATTGGGGAACTGCAGCCCTTCAGATGTTGTTGGGCAAGAATTCCCATAATCCTGACCACTTGTGTTGGCTGGTGTTGATGGAAGATGTAATTTAATAATATCTGGAAGGCCAAAGGTTCTTTACTCTTGCTCTACAGTATAATTGTGTATTGGGCAAATGAGACAAGAAATGGATAGTATGTAAAAATGAGTTCATTGAGACCATACTAGTAGTTGGCCACTTGGAGATCATTTGTTATGCAATAGTTTATAATCAAAGCACCACTACAGTCCAATCCCAGTGAAAGGAAGAAACATAGTTTAGCAGTGGAAAAAATACTATGTATCCAAACATCTACTAGGCTAAGCACATGTCTATTTCTAGATGGGTCTCAGAAGCATTCTGAGAAACAATGGCGATGTTGGATGCACACAGCTATGGTTGGTTCAGAAGTGTTTTTCTGAGCACAATGCCTGGCACTGCCAAACACTTCTATTTTTATTTTCAAGGAAAAGATAAAACAAACTTTTCCCTGTTCTTTGTCCCACTTAATATGCAAAAGTGAGAGAAGAACAGAATGACCAAAGTCATTGCACCTTCCTAGCTCCCCAGGTGACCTTTGGATAAAAAAGGATTCGTTTTTCTTCTTTTTAATAAACGGCAGTGGTAGTAAATTTTATAGCTAAGCATTAGCCAGACTTGTTCCAGCATATCCATCATTACAAAAGGTTTATTTTAGTATAAAAATAAAGCTGGTCGTAGCTTTGTTTCTCAGAGGATAAAAAACATGACCACAGTGCCCTAGGATTTGCTGCCTTCCCCTTACCACGTTCAACTTTTTCCATTTAAGGTACCAGTTCAGCTGGTTCCTTCAGCCACATAAGCCTGTTCTTTGACCAAGCAATGTTTACAACTTCCTCTCCACTCCCTGTAACAGTAGGGGGAGCAGAGAGCAACAACTAACAAAAAGTTGGCAGGAGTGAAGAGGACCTTGGTCTACGGGAAGGCTGGCTGGGAAAAGTAGAGGAAGAGTTTGCTTCACATCAATGGAAACTAGCCAATAGTTCTTCAAGCATAGTTGCACCATAAAAGGGTTCCTTCACTTAAATTTGAAAGGTAATGCTTTTCTTTTCTTTTTCACTCCCAAATCCTTGAGAGTGCTTATCAGAAAAATGAGAATTTCTGTAATTTCTGAACATGAAGACAAATGAACCGCAATACAATAAACAGTAAAAATGAAAATGAAAAAAAAGAAAGAAATTTGAATAGCTACAATGTGTGCAAAGATGTTGGCCTAAGACTAAGGAGACTTTGGGCCAGTCTGTCATTCTTAACCCAACCTACCTTACAGGGTAGTTATTATGGAAAAAAAACAGAAGGAGGGCTACGTATGCCACCTTCAGGTCCTGGAGGAAGGGTGGTATAGAAATCAATCAATCAAACAGACAAACAAATTAGCCAGCCAGCCAGCAAGCTAGCTATGTGATATTGAGGAGGTAACATATGCACTGTACTTAAATAACAAGCAACAGAATATAATCAACATTGTAATGATTGCTTTCTCCTCTTATACAATTTAGATGTCAATCATATACGTCCTTACTTCTGAAAAATACCAGAAGTGATGGGGTCAATATATATGCTGTCACCTCAGAAAAGAAATGTACATATTCCTTAGCGATGTGGCCATGATTAACTATGGAATCAGCTGCTGGAAACTGAAACAAATATTCAAAGTTTGAACCAATGTGCTAGCAGAAAGGGAACCTAACTGTTTATAAGGTTTTACACATGTGAACATACTCAGGCATTTTCCACCTCCAAATAAATATATTTTTAAAAGATGATACAAATACAAATGTTTATTTTAACAGAGCTAGTAGCAGACCCAGGACAGGTGTGATTCTTCTATGCTAGTTGGATGGTGCTTCCTCCTTTCTCCCTGTGCCTGAATTTTAATGGGTTGTTTTGTTTTAAAAAGATGTCACATTGTGGATATCCTGTTGTCAGACCTAGTTTGGGTCTAAAGTTATGATATACATTTCCAAGATAAATACATGTATTTCAGTATTATCCAGATAAGAGTCCAAGAAATGTTGCCCATATACACATTCTGCATTAGGCCTCTTCCCAAAGGAATATTTTTGCACCATGATTTTTCTGCTGTAACCACAATTTGTGTAGGAAATGGACACAGGGATCCAGAACGAGGCAGGATAACTACACATGCATCAGGACATCATTGTGCAAATGACATGAATTATGTAATTCAAGTCATTTGCGCAACGATGCCATGACACATGTGATACCCCTTACCTCCCACCCCAACCCATTGATGCCAACAGAATGGATGTTACTTTTACTTTTAGTAACTTACTTTTACTAACAGCAGTACTATGCCTATGGAAAGATGAATCCTTTCACAAGAACACTTCAAACACACATTCTGTTGGATCATCCTGAATAAACAGGAAAAGAAAAAGGAACTTGCATTTTAGAAGCACTGTGTTCTGATTAGCACCTTGACATCTACATTCATTGTCCATTTTATATGTCAGAACACTCTCTGTCATCAGTCAGTGCCAGAAAGTGTCATTCACAAAGGGCCTAAAAAGATTTTAAAAAAAATCTAGAATCTTTGTCAGCAGCTGAACAACTCTAGCTGGCATAACAATCAGTCACTGTGATGCACCTCACTCTCATTTTGTTTCTCCTATGTGGAACAATGCTGTTGACAACCTGTGACATTGATAAGAGCAATAGTTTCTATTTCTGACCCCCTTGGAATATTTCTGGAATTATACTTCCAAAATAAAAACAAAAAAGAAGTCCAAGGCATACTCTCTTCCTTGCAACCACACCTGAATACATATTATGCATACTTTTCTTTGCTGAATCATTTTTTCAGTTCCATAGCAGTCCATTTAGAACACACAAAAAATATATTTTTTTTTCTAACAAAATGATTTGGTTTAAGCAGTAGTTGGATACCTCATTTCTCAATCACTGACAGCTCCCTTATGGAAATCTTTATTTCTAGCATTGGTTAATGTTTCGGGACATTTGGTGGCAAAGAAAGGTTACGGAAGACTCTGACCTGGAATGCTATAACCTCTGGCCCACCTTTCAGCCCTTCCATCGCAAAGGTCTCCAGGTGCAGCCTCGGCAGCTGCAGGGCGAAGTCATTCCTGCCTGCTGCAGTCCATGACAGTGAGATCTGATCTCTGACCTAAAAGGGAAAAAACAGTATCAATGGTAATTCCCCTTCAGACACATTAACTGGGATGAAGTGGGTCCCCTTGAGTCCACTGAGTGGACTTGCATTGATCGCTGGACCTGAAATCCATGAATAAATTTAGGACTAATTGATTTTTCGTTGCAAATAAATCTCTAATTCAGAGTGCTGGGAGAGAATGTTAAGAAGAAAAAGCTTCCTCCTCCCAAGACTGAAATGAGATAGGAAAGAAAGTCACTTAAGGCTCCTTGTCTAAGTGGAGCAGCACACAATTCTACACGCTATGCACAAGGTCTAGGTTCAAGAAATTCAGAAGTATGACGGACACTGTCACCACATTAATTTCAGCAAATGTGCCACCAGTGAACCTCTTTAAAAAAAAAAAAAAGGCTCTCACATTCACATAAATATCTTATTCTCATCAAAGAAAACACTTTTAAGTTAATTAAGCTGTGAGGTAGCAAAATTAGATTAGATAATGGAAATGTTTTTAAAACTTCAGCTGCATATGCAGCTAATTAAAAGTGGTAATAAGTACCTGTGAAAAGACTAAGTTCAAGTATCAAGTATTTTAGCATTAAGGACTACCTGGACAAAGTTTAAAAAAAAAATCTGAAAGGGAGGGGAACAAATGCATCATTTTCCAAATGTCAAGTAATTGGGATTTAAAGTATTTCAAAGGCACAATGTTTAAGAAACAACAAAACACAGAGCACTATAAATGAGAGAGATCCATATACTCATGTGGACAACTATAATCTTATGCAGTTGGTATTGTACTGCCACCTTCTGTTAAGGTGAGCAATACCTTCATTCATTATGCCTCCTATAAAAATACAACGGGCAATATTTATAAATAATATTTCACTGTTAGTTTCTATCTACACAAAATCTGACTCTATACATAAATTCTAGAGAATAAGCCCATTACAGGGTCCCTGCAGTTGAATATTACAGTATATCTTCTAGTAATACCATAAAAAATACAATCACACCTTGAGCTTAATCGTGCTCATCTGCAGCAGTCAGAAAACTGTAAGCATTTGCTTCTACTTTTAACTAACAAGTGTTAGTATTACATGTGAATTCTAAAATATGGGTTAAACTGATTATCTTAACATTTTTTTAAAAGCTAGCATTACTACCCATAGTTTATTAGTGTGTTTTGAACTAATCGTTGAAATTAACTGGATTTTGATGGATTTGATCAAAACTACACAAGGTATTTAAAAATGGACACAGAAGCATGGAAATTCCTCGACTCTGTCATCCTAGAGGAGAAAGATGCAGAGAGTACAAAGGGCCATAACTTACGATGACTTCAGAACACAAAGAACAAGGCTTCCTTCTAAGCAGACAGTGCTGTGCTATACACAAACGTTATATTTTAATGTTATTGGGGAGGAGATCAGTTGCTGCACATATGATTCTGTCTTCTTAGTTTGCAAACTCTAATATTGCAGTAATTAAACTGAACTGTACAATCCTGTATCTCAGAGGCAATATACAGAAGCATTTTAGAAGGGAAACAGACATATAAATAGTTCCAGACACATTCTCCTGCCCTGCTAGTAATTGATATAATAGTTTACTACATAATCATTAACACAACCATAAAAACTACTGCTGCATTCCACAAGTTTTAAGAAGAGCCTTTCACATTAAGGATTAAGTGCCAGTATATTTTCTTTGTAAGTTGCGAAAATGTTTAAAAATGTATTCTTTTTACAATTATTTTTACGTGTGTGTGTGTGTGTATTCATTCCTGAAGATATGATGTGCAAGTGTTAAATGAAATGCTGGAGATCTTCATACTCTGTAGTCTAGTCTGTGGGAATAGGGAGTCTTACATTTCCCTGGTTAACGTAAAGAATTCCTGTCAATACCTGTACCTGTCAAACGTATGCACTATAATGCAATTTTTATAACAGTATGGGCCCTCCACACATTTCTAACTGTACTATTCTAGGTTTAGGGTACAGAGTCCAGAGGAACAAAAACCATCTCTTGGGCCTTCTGTGGTATGTGTAATTTTGTTCCGATAGTCATCTTGTCTAAGGTAATACAAATGTCATTTTTACCATATCTATAATAATGCATATTTCACTTGATTTGTTATAGACTATATATGTTAACTTTTCAGTTTCTTATTGTAGCCAATGTGCACCCAGATAAAAGAAAACGTTAATGTGGATTAAGGTACTAAGAATTTATCAACATCAAACCACCAGTGTTTTGCCTTCTACCCTTCTGAACCATAGTCAATAGATCTAAATATTTTACTGCACCCTGGCCAATTCATTGTTTGATGTTTAAAAACGCACCCAGAATCAAAGAAAATTTATTAAATTTGAGCCCCCAAATGAGATACTATTAGCTTTGAAAGTCAAGTTTAACTGCGATATTGATGATTCTCTTTTTTCTGTGACAAAATTCACCAGGGAAACCCCTGATGTCAAAGTACCAAAGCAGATTGCTAATACTGAAGGAGGAGGGGGGGGGGAACAGCGCAAAGGAAAAGAGGGGGTGAGCCGAGAGAGTGAGAGATAAACAATATAGATGCTGTAGAGATACAACATTGGCAGAGCCAAGTCCTTTCACCTCTATTTATTTCTGCTTCCGTCCTTTGCCATTATGCTATAACAGAATTTGGACAGTAAAAGAAAGAACATATCCTTAAAATGCAGTATAAGGCTAGGCCATCATCAGAAACGAATGTAAATGTTCCTTAGATGTAAAGCTCCAGATAACATAAGTTCCAAGCATTTATCCTAGTATTTTACTTATTTTAGATAGAATGGGCTGCATTTTGTTGTTACTGTTGTTAGTCATTTATTTTTCTTTTTTTGCTTAACTATTTAAAAAAAGGAGGGGGGGGGTGTCCTGATTATTTTCAATGTTATTTATTAAACTCAAACACTGTATGGACAAAGGAAAGAGAAATGCTTCAGTTATACATAATGCTCCTTTTTCACTTTATCACCAGCAATCATTGAGCATGCAATTTCAGATTGCAGTTGGGGACTGACATCTGTGAATACTGCTGTTATAACAAAATCAATTCACGTGGACAACTAGCAGGTAAAGGAGAAGGATTTTACCCTGCTTTCCGTCCTGACATGCTAGGTACCCATGTGAAATCTGATTGTTTGTTTTTTTAATAGGATGATACATTTCCATTGTGTGAGCATTCTTTACTGCAGGCTGAAATGTTATAGCAGAGCTCAGGGAAAAGTAGATATTTGAGGTTTTACAATTCCACTAATGCCCACTAATTCAGTGTACTTACAAAAGAACCTCAGTTGCTTTTATTCACACATTTTTCCACAATGTTGATCTGTAGCATAAAAAAGAGTGCCTAAGTGTATGGTTAAAATCTGGTATGCCGCATACAAACTGTAGGTTTTTAAGGACTTCAAAGCTGTGGGAAGAAGATAGACATTGTACATATGTCCCTTCTGTCTGAGGTGCAGAACAATCCCTCAAAACAAAAAGCAACTGTTTAACAAAACACAACTGTATGAAAGAAAATATGGAATGAATGGGCTATAGTAGCTCTACCTATATCCCCTTAAAGCACTGATTTTTTTTTTTTTTTGTCTATACAAAGAAAAATATTTTCTTCTAAAGAAGACAAGATGCCTCCCAACTTTGATAGGAATATGCTGTTGTGGAAATTGCACAGCTTAATCCAATCTTTCTTTAGGATTTCCAGAACACAGATGTGATCACTACAGTGCCAAACTGCCATCTCTATCTGTACAAATTGTAAAAGTATTTCTAAAATCTGCAAATATATTCTAAAACGTAGAAACCCAAAACTTATTATGTCCTATCCGAAGGTTCTATTTTCCATTGTGAACTGAGATTCTTGAATTTTTCGTGTATCCAAATACAGGTACATGTATTTAAAAACACACTTACTAGTTTATATCTGTTGTTCAAAGTGTATTATCCTGATGCAGTATGCAGACACCCATGGTTTTGGTGGTGGTGAAAGGGAAATAGGAAAAAATTGCAAGCGACTAAACATACGAGGTGGTCATTCACAAACCAGTTGTTAGGGGTGACACAGTTATTTTCTTATTGATGAATCAGGTCACACATGTGG